GGAATACTAAAAAGAATAATTGCTAGGAGGTCAAGGATGGCAACAGAATCGCAGCCATTATCGCAAAAATTTGAAATTTTTGACCTGGAAATTATTTCGGTAACAGTATATAATGACCGTGCTGAAATCCATCGTAAGGTAACAGCAAAACTTGAACCAGGCTTGAATGAAGTGGTTTTTGCGGTAAGCCAATTTTGGAACAATTTTTATATTTTTTTTGCTTATTTACTGAAAATAATAAATTACTCAAAGTGAGATGTGTTTTTTTGGTCTATAAATTCAGTACTGAATATTTATCAAGTTGATAAACAAAAGAGAGATATTTTTTTAAGTAATTTGCATATAATTTTTTTAACTGTTAAAAAATTCAAATTATCAACTGAAAACAATACAATTACTGATTTTCAATCTTAATTTCGAAAACAGGTGAAGAAATGAAAAACTTTTATTATCTAAGAATTTGTATTTATAGATATATGTATTTGGAATAAGATTATCAAAGCATAACCTTAGTTAACTTTATTACAAAGGTTTTTGATCATATAAAATAATTTAGGAATTTTATTAAAATTTTTTAATTTTTGCGCACTCTTTCGGTATATCTTTAAAAAAGGCAAGTTATTTGTAAAGCAAAAAATTTAATTCTAGAAATTACCTGAAACAGCAAAAGAAGATTCTGTTACTGTCAATGGTCATGGTGATGCAGTTATTCAGGGAGTTAAAATTGATACTGTACCAGCAGTTGCTGATGAACAAGAAATGCCTCGGGTATGATTATATTACCTATATATATATTTAATCCTTCTCAAAAACATCTCAGATCTGACGTTTTGAATTTTGAGTGTACATCGGGACTCATGACTCATTAACAACTGGCAGGCTAATTTCTGACCTTTGTTATTTATTTAATTTGACATGCAGTGAAATCGCAATTTCATATGCAAATAAGATTTCGAAGTTAATATTAGACTAATTTTGAGCTGTTTTTATTATTTCACTGAGTTAAATTTTAAAAATTAACATAAAAAATGTATTATGTTTTGTCAAATTTATGCAAATTTTAGTTACAAGACTTGAAGAAGCAATTAACAAGTTATAAATATGAACGAGAAACTGTTGATAATGAACAGAAAGTTTTTCAAAAGCGTCAAGAACTGCTGAGTAGTATTATTAAAGAGGTTAAATGATTTTATTTTCGCAATTTTTTTTACTATTTTTGACTTCAAAAATTTTACAAATTAATAATACAAAAAAATATCGTACATTTTAAGTATCTTACAGTTTAAAATAATATAGCAATAAATTCGATTTAATTTTGTAACCTTAAATTGAAAGTTAATTAATTAAACAGTCTAAAAATGATCTCATTTAAATTTGAAATTTCAACAGTGTGGTGGCAAATTGGTTGAGAGGAACATGAAGGAGAATGGACCCTTTCATGTAATAAGCGATAATGTCAACGAATTACTTGAATTTCACCAAATTCAACACAGCAGAATTCTCAAGGAAATGCAAAGAATTCAAGAAAGTTTGCGGGAATTTGATGAAAGAATCAAAAATATTAAGGATCAGATTGCACAAGTAAAACAAAGTCGCAATTATATAAGGTAAATCATATATAAATGAGAAATTGGTACTCGAAATTCCAACTTTACTTTACCATCAAATTATTGAAGTTACAAAAAGGTAAATCATATATAAATGAAAAATTGGTACTGATTGAAAATAACCTTAAGTTTGATTAGAAATCGTTACTTCAGTCTTTTATTGTTTAAAATTCAATGTATTACTTTCGAAAGTTCTCTCTCAACAGTTTATACGTATGAAATTTTGCAGAAATGTCTGCGTAACGCTTGAAAGTCAAGAAAATTGTGAAGTTGATTTAAGTATTACTTATCAGGTATCAAATGCATCGTGGCATCCATCATACGAAATTCGTGTTGAAAGTGATGCAAACACATTAAAGGTGAGCAATAATTTTATTCAAATTTGTCCTTAATGTTTCAATTATAATTCATTAACAAATTTAAGTATTTAAATATACACATTTTATATAAGGTTAATTATTTTAATATGTAAATTTTTGTTTTTCAGCTGCTTTGTTTTGGTAATATAAATCAAAATACTGGAGAAGATTGGATTAATGCATCTATAAATTTAAGTACTTCAAAACCAATTATTGGTGGTGTATTACCAAAACTTGGGACGCTGGTTGCAGAATTTTTTAAGCCTGAACCTGTTCCACAATTTGCAGCTTTTGCACAGCCATGTGCTGCTCGGACTAAACCACGCGCCTTACTGTAATAGATTAAGACTATAAACTAGTTTTAGTATGACTACTTATTTAAAAAATTGAAGCATAACTACTTATAATTTAAAAATAATTAATTAGCTATTATTTCTAGCTGTTATATTATTTTGTGCATCCGCAAAATTATTAATTAAATGAATATTATTATTTCTCGGTCTTATATGCATCCGTAAAATCACTAATTATACCTCAATTTGCATATTATATGGTGAACTTACTGTATTTTAAATTACAGCGACTTTTTTATAACAGTTACATCAAATATATGTGTAATTAAATGCTTGTAAAATAATATAATAGTTTAAAAAAGTATTGAAATTTGGGTATAAATTTTTCTTGAATAATAATTAAAACAAGATTATGTTTAATGTTTTACTGTTTCCATCTTTTTGAACAAATTTTTAGGTTTTAAAATTGTACCATTATATTTTTAGATCAGCTGATATGGTTGATGCTGAAAGCTATAGTTTTGGAGCTGTTGCATATTCTTCAGAAATGGCTCATTCGGTTTTTTGCTTTATTATTTAGAGATTTTTTTAGTGTTAATTACAAAATATAAAAAGTTTGTTGTAAATTAATTGAAGTTATTGAAATAAGTAAATATATTTTAAATAAACAAATTTTAGAAGTTATTTTTAAGATATTGAAATATTGTAATTTTGTAATTAATAATTTATTTAGGCAGTAACGTATGCTGAATCTTCAATGTCTACAACATTTACAATCCCAAATCGTAAATCTATCATGTCAAATACAACAGATCACAAACTGCTAATGACTTCTGTAATTCTGGATACGACTATGTGTTACGAATGCATACCATCCAAAAGCACAAATGTTTATCTTACTGCTTACGTTATTAATGATTCTTCAGTGCCATTTCTTGCAGGCCAAGCAGCTATTTATGTTGATAATTGCTTTGTTGGAAAGGTTTTTTCATTGCTTTTTTTTTGAATATAATTTTTATATTGTATTTGAATTTAAGTAACATACACAAAATTCAGTTCACTATTATACAGATAAAAACTCAGTTCATACTGTTATACAGATCTGTAAGTATAAGTGAATGGAATTAATTAAAATATGAAAATGTAATGAATCGAAAAATAATGATTTATTCAAAACTATTTTCTAATTTATTTTGTTTTATTATAATATTTCCAAGTAATTTAAAAATTTTCTCATATATTTTTACAAATTTCTTCAATAGATGCTGAAAGCAAAGCAGTGAAATTTAGTTATTAGTTAGTTGGTTACACGAAAAAAAGTTTAATCATTTATTAATTTTAACAAAATTATTACTTAAATCTGTTTTTGTTTTTATAAGTATGCCAAAAACAAAATTTTATTTTATATGAAATAAAATTTTTTCATCGTACAAAATTTTATCGTTTTAACAAAATTATTACTTCAATTAACTTTTTCATTTTTAATTTTAAATATTTTAAATACAAAAGTTATAGCACACTTTCAATGCTGTATCACCAGGAGAACGTTTTAAATGCTTGCTAACCATTGATCCAGCTATTAAAGTTGAATATAAGCCTGTTAATAAGTATACTGAGCAGGTATTATCTTTCAAGCTGTTCTTTTAATTATGAATACAGACTACATAAATTTTGTTTTTACGTTTATTAAATAAGATAATAATTATACAATTTATATTAAATTTTTAGATAATAATAATTATTATATTGCTGACTCACACTTGAGTTTTATTTTCGAATTTTGAGAAAAAATTTCTCAGGTTGGATTGATAACGAAGTCAGTAACAACAATGCATGAACGAACAGTTGTGATAAAAAATACAAAATCTTCGTCCGTCTTAGTAATTATAAGAGAAAATATACCAAAGTCAACGGATGAAAAAATTAAGGTATTTTATATTTATAAAAACGAAAATATTGACTTCATATTTAGAATTATGCAAACATTTACGTAAGTTTATGCTTTTCAGTAATTTAAAGTTTTAAATTTAGTATACACAAAATTGCAGTGTTTGAAAAAAGTACTTATAGAAATTCAAATTTCTGTTTTCGTCTTGATAATACTTTGAATTTTTTTAGATCAAATTATATTCACCAGAACTAGACAGTAAGGATGAGAGGGAATTTTTGGTACCAACGATTGGTGCACGTTTGGATGTAGATCATAATTTAGAATGCGTTCAAAAAATTGAAAGTAATGACAAAAAAGAATTACTAATCAAATGGTCTACTGAACATCCAAAAGAGGAAACAGTTAATTTTCGTGAAGTTTTTTCACATGGAAACTCATAAAAGTGTCACAGATTTATTCGAGATTCTGTAAACACCGATTCATATTTGAATATATTTTTTTGACACATTTATGTTTAGTTCATCACTTATTTTGATAAATAAGTAATTTATTCCACATATTTGTTACTAGTTTATTCATACTTATAAGATTTTCATTTATGCATATTTAGATATTTTTTGCTAAATTGACTTAAATATCACTAGTTCGTTCGAGTTTATTTAATCGAGAACTTATAAATAAATATGTAATCATGTGTAGCAGGTCGGAGGTTAATCCTTTTTCTGCCTTCTTGATTCTCGCGTTGAATCCAGAATCGTTTTTTTTGTTTATCCTCAATTTTCTGCTTTCCTATTTTGAGATTTGTCAAAAATATAAAAGCATTCATTAATTTTAAAATTGCAATTTTTTATTTTCGTATTCTCTTTTCGATTTTATTTTGCAAATAAAGTGAAATATATTCAGCACTGTGAAATATTCTTACGTCTCCATACGTTTGTTCACGTTTGCAAATGCAAATATTATGTAAGCTGAAATCAAAATTAATTCACTTTATAATTTATATTAAGTATATGATTCACAGCAATTAGTTTTGACAATAAGTTTAATTAGATCCATGCAAAAATCTGTAATTCTTCTAGTCGTATAATCAGTTTTTGATAATTAATTACACTTTGATATGATTTGTCAATGACTGCACAAATTTAAATGTGCAAAATTCTTAAGTTTCTGTGGAAAGTATAGGAATATATTCATTATGACTAATGTTCTATTTTAAAACCTTAGTGGTCAATTGGTCAAGATTAAAATTTGCATAAAACAAAAAAAGAATCCAAATATTATTTCCTACAATTTGTTTCTTTTATTTCGGAAGAAAACATTGTTTTCATTCACTTTTTAGTAAAATTTAGAAATCTCACTCTCTATGTTTTCCTCGAGATTAAATTACAAAAAACTCCAGTATCTGTATTTATTTTAAAATTTATTCAAATTAGATCAAGTATTTCCTAAGCCAGTACTGAAAATAACGGTTTATTCCAGAGTTTTATTTCCAATATAATTAGAAATGATTTATTCAGCTAAAAATTAAAGACAATATTAAATACAGTGAAGAAGATTACACTAATCAAAATGTTCTATAATGCTAACAACAATGAATACTGGCCCTCTTTCATCGACAGAAGCAACTCCAGTACTTACGCCAGTTTTCGATTTTTCACTATTCAGACGCAACGTGATCGGCTCAATATTGAAAACGTGTCTAAAATAGACTGTTAGCCAGAATTGAAAAAAAAATCACTCATAATATTGGCTTTCCGAAGATTTGCTTATTAAAAACAGAAATAATATTATAAGTTTGACTTTACTTTTGAGTATCAGTCATAAACTGAAAGTTAGAACATATTGGATTCAAAAATTTGATTGAATTTTAGTTTCCTAAAGATAAGTGAAAAATCTTCACAATGAAAAATAATGCTTAAATTAGTTTTCACTTAATATATTTCAAATTTTGCTGCTTGATTAAATATAAATTAACGGATTAAAAAATTATTAAGGAGAAAATATAGGACCTAAATATATCCTCGCTATTTTTAGGTTCAACAGCATTCTTCTTAGTCAAATAAAATGCAAATGCCTGACAATTTTTAGGCAAATTCAGTTTCTTCTGAAAATAAAACTGTTGCACGTAATATTCAAATTTATACCAGTGATAAGCAGTGATAAGGAAATTAACAACTTAATTAGCAATTAATCCTTAACCATTTTCAATAAAAACTAAAAAAAGTTTTACTTTCCACGTCAATAGTTTTTCCCGTAAAGTAATAGCATTTGTTGTTTTGACGACAAATCTTGATGTGCGTACGTGTGGTTCACGGCGAAACAACAACACAACCGAATTTTTTTTTATTCTTCGATTAGTTGTAGTGTAAAACTTGTTTCTCAGAAATTTCCTTCAAATTATAATATTGTAATTCATGCTGAATTTCATAGATTTGTATTACTTTGTTCAAGTTATAAACAATATGTCATTCGTTTAACACAATGTGAAATTCAATAATTTAAAATAAAAAACTGGAACTCACGGGTCATCAGCTTGAGTAGCAAAACAAACTGGTAATGATTTATCTAATTCTTTTATTTGGTACGAGAATTCTTGATGTTTTTCCAATTCATAACTTAAAATGCTAGAAATTACAATAGCCAACTGATATCTGCCCTGAAATTTTTTTCGACGGATGTTCAGAATAATAAATAATTTCACCTAAATTTTTGAATTTTACCTAACTTTTCGTATTTTGGTTTTAAATGCAAGAAAGTAATTTTTCAAAAATAAAAAATGATGTAAAAATAAATTTGTCTTATTTTTATTTCAGACTTTCGGAAATTTGACATAATAAAATGATATAATGAATAGTAATATTC